CGCCGGCCTCGTGGGCCTCCCCCGAGCCCCAGCCTTTTTTTTTTTTTTTTCTTTTTTTTTTTTTTTTTTTTCCCTCCTCCTTTCCTGCTTGTTATTCTGGCAGCTAAGCCAGCCGGGGATCGGAGGCGTTTTGAGGGCTTGCGTTAAGCAGCTGGTAACCAGGCTCGTATTCTCCTGTATTTTTTTTCAGGCTCCTTGGAAATTGAGGAATGCAATTCTGCCACCATGATGGAAGGTAGGTGATGATCTGAGCATGTCTTTGGGGATGGCTGGAGTTTTTTTAAAAGCGACGGCGGAGGAAGGAGGACGCACTGAACCTGTGCGTGTGAATCCTTTTCCTTTTTTTTTTTTTTTTTTTTTTAAATAATAATAATAATAAAATTCTCCCTAATCCCAATCGGACTGAAGCACCCTGCCTGCTGCCAGCGAGCTGCCGGATGCTGATATAATATCCATCCCATCGGATTATTTGCAATTCCATCCCCAGCCCTGTGTAGGCAGTTTGGGGGATGCAGACGCCCGGTTAAGCGGCGGAGCCGCCGGTCCCTCTGGCTGGCGAGGCGGCAGCCTGGGCAGGGAGAAAGGAGATGGGTCGGTTGGCATTAAGGTCCTTTAAGCGTTATTTTATCCTCCGCTTTGGAAACCCACTTTCCCAGCCTGCCATGATGGACAGAGGATGAGTTTAAGCGTTATCTGTACGCGCAGACCGGGGGCTGTGAAGCCTGTCCGTGACAGATGGGATGCTGTGGTTTTACAGCGTAGCTCTATGGATGAGCATCTTTTCAGTGGGAAATAAGAATATTTGAATTTAAGGTAATTTTTACCATGTAGTGTCGCTGGTTTGAAGATGCAGGCGCTGGAGAGGAGGAGGAAGGAGGGGGGGCAGGGGGGGGATGTTGGGTTGAGGCTTATTGGAATAAAAAAGGAAATGAGAAGGAAATATGGGCTCCGGGCACAAGATTCTCCAGGCAGCGTTGTGAGACTGTGCGTCTGATCATGTGTGGGAAAAGCCCCTGGGCATTTCTTAAAGAAATTTTAACCTATGTTGTTTGTCTCAGCCATATGTAAAGCTTTTTTTTCCTTTTTTTTTTTTTAAATGCCTTCTGGAGTAATCTGCAGGGAAAGGAAGGCTATTAAATTTCTATTTTAATTTTTTTTTTTTAGATTCTTTTAGCAGAATAGATACTTCAGAGCCAACAAGATCAAAATATTCTGTTGACTTTTTTTATTTTTTATTTTTTTTATTTTTGGTAAGGCCCTGTGGCCGAGGCAGAAGTGCCCACCTCGGCAGGGCTGCGCGGAGCCGCATCCAGCGCCGGGCTCGCGGCGCTGCCGGCATGCTAACCAGGCAGCTGCCCGGCCTTCCCCGAGATGACAGGCAGAAATTGGGCTGCCTCTCGGTGTTTCCCTGTAAATCCCGGTCTGCCGCCCTGTCCAAATTAACCTAGAAAGGCGTCGGGCTCCGTGTAACCGAGATGTCTTGTATGAACTTAAAATATTTGCCTAACCTTGGAAATTCGGGTGCTGAAATGTCCATGTGTGAATCGCTGCTTGCTGGGTTTTCTTTTTTTTGTTCGTTGGTGTTAAGGGAATGAGTGTCGTCGTCCTTTGATATGAGGAAATGCCTTCAGTGTCTTCTCTAATATTGCTGATAAAGTCTGAAGCAAAAGAGATGTAATTTTAGGCCGTGCCATCAAACTCATCCTAGCGTGCTTACGTACATGACACACTGGGAACCAGGCACAGAACCTGGGCAAAACAGGGTGATTTTAGAGAAGATGTCATTAACGACATGGTTTCTCTCAAAAGTGCCCACATTTGTGGAGGAATTAGCGTAGATAAATTGAAGTTGGACAGTGAAATTCTCAGTTTGGGTTATTTAACTGGTTTTCAGGCTGGGTGGGGGGAAGGCGGTTGGGTTTTTTTGCTTGTTTGGAGTTGGTTTGATCCGAGGGCTGGAGCCCCTCTGCTGGGAGGACAGGCTGGGAGACTTGGGGGGGTTCAGCCTGGAGAAGAGAAGGCGAAAAAGGGAGACCTCAGAGCCCCTTCCAGTGCCTAAAGGGGCTCCAGGAGAGCTGGGGAGGGACTCTTGACAAGGGCATGGAGTGATGGGACGAGGGGGAATGGCTATAAACTGGAAGAGGGCAGGTTTAGATTAAACATTAGGAAGAAGTTTTTCCCTGTGAGGGTGGTGAGGCACTGGCACAGGTTGCCCAGAGAGGTTGTTGAGGCCCCATCCCTGGAGGTGTTCAAGGCCAGGCTGGAGGTGGCCTTGGGCAACCTGGGCTGGTAGGAGGTGTTCCTGCCCAGGGCAGGGGGGTTGGAACTGGATGATCTTCAAGGTCCCTTCCAACCCAACCCATTTGATGATTCTATGGTTTGTTTTTTGGTTTGGTTAATTCCTTGAGGATTTTTGCCTTGCTTGGTGAAATGCCCGGGGTGAGGCGTTGTGTGGGAGCCTCGGCCATGCTGGCCCAAGGCAAGTGGGTGCCGGCAGGGAGGTTGGCCAGGGCTGGGGCTCCTCCGCCTCTGGAGTAGGTCGAATTGCCTTTCCTGAACCAGTCTGGTATTAAAAAAAAAAAAATATTATAATACTACTACTAATAATAATAATAACAGAAACTAGCCACAAAAAGTTTCTCCATTATCTGTGACTTATTAAACTACTTAACGTGTTGTTCCCCAGCTAGCTAGTGCATGCGGGAACCAAGAATGGAAGTGAGAAAATAGCATTAGAAGAAATAATTGCTGCTTTTGAGGAATTTTTAAACCGTTGGAAACTGGCTCTCTACGTGGAATAGTGAAACTTTTGTGACCAATATCCTGCCGAAACATTGGCACCTTGCAGAGACGCTTCGTTTTAATATAAGAACGCTTTCAAATGTGCTAAGCTTAATTTGATCTGAAACTTTTAAACCTGTGCGAAAAAGCTATAGTTCACTGCAGTAAACCTGCTAAAGGCTTTTTTGTTAGTATTGTAATTATTTAAACGACTTGTGTCACCAAAATGTTGGATGCTGTGCTGGAAGCTGAGGCTGGAGCTCGGGGAGGAGCGGGGCTGTGCCCACCCGCCATGTGCCGGTGCCCCCGGTGCAGCCCCAGCACCCCCGGGGTGCGGAGCATGGGGCTGTCCGGTGGGATGGACCTGTCTCGGTTGATGGTTTTGGATCCTCTTCTGCAGGAACAAGAGTATTTGGCTCCTTGGGAGTGGTGGAGGACACGCAATTTGTACTAGTTTGTGCTGAACCCAATATGGAGTATTTTCTCGTTCTCACGGTAGATGGGGAGGAAAAAGTGCCTGTTTTTCACTGTATGCTTAAAAATCACAATGATATCTAAAAAAATAAAAGTGTGGACACTGTCTCAAGAAACCGGTCCTTGCTGGGAGGAGGACAGAACACATGCCACACGGTGTCTCAACCACCAGAAGCAGATGGTTCTTTGGTGCCATAGCACGGTGGGGTGCGGTGGGCACAAGTGTTGCGGTTGCTCACAGTCCGTGTTGGGGATGGTTTTGCTGTGCTTGACCTCGCTCCCGCAGGTGGAAAGTAGGTGTCGGGGCTGGAGACCAAAACTCCCTGGCTTTGAACTGAACAAAATTAACCTGCAGCAAAACTCTATTGCGTGTCAGCACTAGATCTGGGACCCAAAGAGCTGCTGGAAAAGTCCCACCATATGCTGGGAAAGTGTCTGCATGTGTGGCAGTAGATATGAGAGGTGTTTAGATGTTCCCTTTGATTGTAAAAATAACTCCCGGTACTTGGAAATGCACTGGGCACGTCGTTAAGGTAAACATCCATGCACGAGAACAAGTTTATCTCCTTTTTTTTTAATCCATCTGTTGCATCTCCGATGTACTGAAGGTATTTTATCCAGCTTAATTAGGTTTTGAAATCACTGCTGCAAGGTGGCACTCGAGCTGGAAGCTCTGTGATGTTCGCAAAGATTAGACGACCGTGTGGCTGATGGGAGCAGCTGTGGTTACATTAGAGAACGTCATGGGAGGTGGTACCTGCATTTTTCCAGAGCCTGAACCAGGCATTTGCTGGGGAGAAGCTTTCCCAGAGTGGAAATGTCTTTAACTCTCTTCTCCAGGCTTTTTTTGCACCTGTTTCTGGGGAGTTTGGTCACTCTGGGAACTTCCATGGATGACTGGTTGCATCCAAAATGGCAAAAACTTCCTTGCGTCATCTTTTAGCAGTGGGTCTCTCCATGTTTTCATCATGCTGAACAGGCAGTACCGGGACCAGAGGCACATAACAGCATATAAAAAAGCCTTTTTCTTGATTAAACAAGAAAATTAGCTTCAATACACTTTAGGTGGTCTCGTCTCAGTAAATGGTGTATCTAAATGTGCTTAGTGTTGACCCCATCACTCGGCAAGGAAACAACCTGCTAGAAACATTTTGTTTTTATTGGAGAAAGCCAATTGTAGGTTTGAGGCAATCGAGATAAATTCAGGCATGGATGGCAAAACCATGCCGGAAAATATGCAAGGACCATAACACCAAATTCAGACCTGTATTTTCCAATACATTGTTGGAACTTGGGCTTGCGAAGAGGCTCAGGGCTTTGGCTTGCAGGAGCATCTCCAGCCAAATGGGGGTTCGGGAAGGGAGGTGGTTGCAGCAGAAATGGCAAGGACTTCTCTAGCTCTCATTTTCATGGGGTTCAAAATCAGGATGTGGTTAGTGTGTCCAGCCCAGAGCTGCTCAGGGGACAGTGACACGCTCCCACGCTGCATCGTGGTGCTTCCAGCGACGTCTCGTGGGCTTCTGGCTGGATCTGGGCTGGCCAAACTGGACCCGAGGAGCATCCCCGTCAACTTTGAATGAATTTATTCAGCAGTCCCGAGGTCAGGAAGCTGAATAGGTCGCAGTAGCAACCTCCAGTCTATGGGGAGGGGAAAAAAAAATAAAAATATCCCTTTTTGCCAGTGTCCAAACTCTTCCCACTGAGCTGGTTTGGTTTTTTCCAGCTCTAGTCCCCCGGCAGTGTTTCTCTGTGCTAAGGGAGGGAAGAGATAAATGGTTCTAGCTCAAACCCAACAAACACCAAGTGAAAGGCCCCATGCAAACCCTGGGAATTTGGGAAATGCTTTGGATTGGGGCTGGTGGCGCTTGCCAGTTAAAATCTGTGTGGTGCCAAAGCGGTGGCACTGAGGATTTAGACCAAAATATGAGCGAGGCAGCAAAAGCGGCTGTTTGCCTCCCACCTAAAGGGATTGATGGGATG